CAAGTCCCTGCCGGGAGAGCAGCAGGACTGAGTCACGTTCCAGCGGCAGCACTGACTCACGGCCACCCCAGCCTCCCTGGGAGCAGCCGGCACATTGCAGAGATTCCTGGATGGAGGCAGGAAAATCAAATTCAATAATAACAACTCATTCACTCCCTTTTCCCCCCTTTTCCTTCCCCCAACACTGGCGCAAACAGCAAATTCCTGCGACACCGGGAAACACCTCCTGCCTGGCCAGAGCAGGGATGGATGCACGACCTGCTTTGCAGAAGCACGAAACGCCCCTTGCCGGCCCCAAAAAGGGCTGTCCCCTTCCCAAAGCTCCCCCAAGCATGGGGACACCTCGACAGCAGATCCTGCCAGTGAGATGTGAAAGGGATGCAGCGAGGTGGACCCTGGGGTGATGGGGATACCCCAGTCCTAAGGCTACACAATCCTGGCTGTAGTTCGTTTTATTTTTTTTCAGGGGGGGATCAAAGGTATTTTGCGTCCTTAGTCTCATCTCTGTCCTTAAATCTTCCCACCCAGGGGGTTCCCCCAGCCTCAAGGGACGTGGGGCAGCCCCAGGCACAGCGAGAAGTGATGCTCCGGTGCAGGGCTGTGATGTAGCTGCTTTTGGCCTGTGTGTATTTGTTATTTAAATTGCTTGGCAGGAGCAGTGGGAGCCCTGGTGGGCTGCAGAGGCTGCTTGGTGAGCAGAGGTTGTGCTGCTGCAGCTTTTGCCTGCTCAGCCCCAGCACCTCAGTGAGGGCTGAGTTGCCCCAAATCCCACAGCAAGGGCTCTGCTGTCCCACAGATGTCCCTGCAGGCATCGTGGAGCAGGGACCTTGTGGGTCACAGCTCCTACAGGGCAGAACACAGGGAACACACCTGTGGAACTCAACACCTACAGACCAAAGAGTCCCCACTGTGGGGGGCTGGCCCCTATGGAGCTCAGCTCCCATATAACCTCAGGCCCAGGTGTTACACAGCAAGAGTTGCTGCCCCAGTGATGCAGACACCTAAAGAAGAGCACAAAATCCCATCCCATGTAGCAGAGTGCAGAGGGACCTGCAGTAAGGAACAAGGGAATACACCCAATGGAGCAGTCCCTATAGAGGGGGATGCCTATCCTGTAGAGAAGCCTCCTATAGAGCCTGTTCCTGCCCACATCCCACAGAGCAGCTCCCAGAGCAGCCCTGCAGGCAGGGAATGTTGGGCTCTATAGGCCCATATGCTCCCAATCCCACCCCACATTCAGGGGGCATGTGGGGGAACCACCCCCAGGCCATGCTGAGCCCCTTCCTGGGGGAGCAGGGGGAGATTGCACTGCTCCGAGCTCTGCAGGGAGGACCATAATGCACTCCCTCCTTGTCTGTGTCCCTCTTGGCCACTTTTCTGCTCACTCATGCCCTTGAACCCCTCTGCATCTCCCTTCCCACAGCGTGGATGGGGCTGCAGTACCCAGGGGGGTTTGGGATGAGCATGGGACAATGAAACCTCTGCAAAGCAGCAGCTGTACAGACACATGCTCCCCTTGGCCACAGGCTGGGTGCTCTCAGTGCTGGGTGTCCTGGCCACCAGCGCAGCGACCTGTGGGTTTCACAGTGTATTTTGGTCAGTGCTTACAAGAAGAGGTGTTGGGGAGGGCTGTGGGGGATTCCGGTAAGTGGCCTCTGAGCCTTCCCCATTCTTGAGAATAGGAAACTGTGACTTCTGCATGGGGTTTCACTTTCTGCTGTGGAGCCAAGAGGCCAAACTGCTTCACTTGACCATTGCTGTAGCACAACCCATGGGCTGAGAAGGGGTGGGGAGAGAAAATTCATCAGAGTGTTCACTGTGGGTGCAAAAACCTCCTTTTTTTCCTAGGAAATGTGGTAGAGCATGAATGCCTCCTGTAAGTTCCACCTCCCACCAGCCTGTTTTGGGGAATGATGCTGTCGTCCCATTTTTGGAGACAGCAAAATGCCAAAGCCATGGCACTGACCTTCCCTGGTGCCCTGTCACCCTCTTCATCCCTCAGCCACCTCTCCTCTTGGCAGCCTCTTCCCATGGCACACATGGATGCTGCAGAGGGGTAGTGGTCTCTGGGGGTGCTGGGGTCAGGAGAGAGATGGAACAATGATCCCTGGGCATGCTGGGGTCAGGAGGGAGGTGGGGCAGTGGTCCCTGGGGGTGCTGAGGGTTGGGAGGGAGATGGGACAGTGGTCCCTGGGGGCGCTGAGGGTTGGGAGGGAGGTAAGGCAGTGGTGCCTGGGGGGTGATGGGTGTCAGGAGGGAAGTGGGGCAGTGGTACCCGAAGGTGTCACAGCTCCTACAGGGCAGAACACAGGGGTCAGGAGGTAGGAGGGCAGGAGCTGGTAAAAATAGCCCCCAGGTGCCCTCTGCCCCTGGAGCAATTCCTCGCTGGGTAAACAGGAAATCTATTCTTAGGCCCATTCATGAGCCGCGGGCTGAGGGCAGCTCCCTGCTCTGGGCTTGTTTTGTTCCTCATTGACACAGAGGTGACGCCAAGGCGGAAGGCTACAACGCAGAACCTTCCAGCCCCGCGGGCTTCCCCTTGCTCACTCCTTCCCCACAGCAGCACCCTGTGCTCCCTGGCTTTTCCAGGGCTGCTGGGGTTTCCCCTTCCCACGAGGCAGTGGTGGGAGGTGAGGGCTGTTTTGGGGTGGAAAACCCTGCACTGTTTGCTTCTGTGCTCAGTCCCGTGCTGGGTGGCACCCTGAGGGGTAACTGCCTTGGCAGAGCTCTCACACCAACATTCAGCTCTTCTCCCCCTTGTATGTCTTAAGTTGAGAAGATAAAGCAACCAAGTTTGCCCTTTCCTGGGATGAGCTGAGCTGGGAAGATTGAAGAAGGACAACACTCACAGCTTTTTCCAGGCTCCCCAAAGGCCCCCAGGGTGGTGATGGCTTTATTCCCCAAGTGTTGTCCCATGTGCAGCATTATGCTCCAAGTCCCTTCCCTTCCTGCTCTCCATGGATCTGTTTCTGCCCAGGGTTCTGTGCTGGAGCTGCTGTGTCCAGGCACAGGCAGCAAACCCTGCCTGCCAGGGATTGTGGGTTTCTCCAGCTCCATGCATGGGACATCCCACTTCAGTCCCTGGTAGGCTCAGAAATGGCAGTTTCTGCCTGGGCAACATTTTTTGGGAACTAAAGAGGATACAGAGAGAAAAATGTGTGCTGCAGCCTACAGTGCTGTGTGAAATGACCAAGGGTGCTCATTATGCTGATGATGGAGAGGGGAGTTCCCTGTGTCTCCCCATCATCACAGCAGCACCTGTGTAGACCTAACCTTGTCCCAGAGCATCTTACCCCAGGAAATAAGTTACTGAGGGAGGTACAAGGGTGGAAGGTGCCTGTGGGCAGGATGAAGTGCAGGGAAAGTCTGGGAAGGGCAGGAGGGTGGATTGGCTCAGTGACACAGGTGAGGGGTGTCTGTGCTTAAGGGGTACCCCCACACAGTGCAGCAGTGAGAGTCCATGAGTGGGGACAGGCTGGAGGAGGGACATCCTGAGTCCAGCACCCTGAGCTGTGAGGATGACAAGCAAAGTCCCTGCAGGGCATCAGCTTGGGGCTGGTGACAGATACAGCGATGTGGAGCCCCGGGGACAATCCCACCGGGGTGCTCCGGAAAATACACCCCCCAAAAAGGCTCCTTGGGCTGCAGAGGTGGATCAAGGTAGGATTTATCTCAGTCCCAATCCTGCAGATGCTCTAGGACCTGGGCTGGAGCAGGGACGAGGCTCTGCTGCCCTCGCGTGGCCGCAGCAGGAACTGCAGCTCGGGACCTCCACCGGCTCTGCCCACTGCGCAGAGCGAGGAGAGAGGGGAAGGGGCATCCACATCGTCCGTGTGGTGGCAAATGCGCCCCCACCTTGTCCTTTTCATGATGAAAATATGCAGAGGTGTCGGGGGGCTGCCCAAAGCCAGCGGTGAACCCACTGGGCAGTCCCGGTGTGGGTATGGTCTCACTCTGCTCCGTCACACGGGTCTGCATCCTCCTCCTCCTCCTCCTCCAGGTCTGTGATGCCCATGGCAGCACGTGTCATGGCTCTCATCCAGCGCTGTTTCAGCTCGGCAGTATCAGCCACAAAGGTGTACACCTGCCGGGACTGTGCCAGCTGGAAGGGGTGGCGGGGGTCCCTCACCTGGTAGCCCAGCAGGGGGATGGAGGTGTGGGCACGGACATCCTGCCAAGAACAGACAGTGGTGGGAGGCAGGGGATGGGCACAGGGGGAGGTCCCTTGCAGGTGCCCAGCCTTACCTGGGGGGCTGCATAGACATACAGCACGAGGGGATCATCCTGTGGGATCACAAACCAGCCCCTCGTGCCTCCCTTGCCATTCTTGTCCAGCAGCTGCAGGGAACTGCAGAGCAAACTCCTGCTTGATACCTCTGCAGCTCCTTTCTGCCAAAAAAACAACACCCAGTGTGGGAGGCAGAAAGGGCACCAAGCCAAGGCCATTTCCTGTGGAATTCCCTACCCACTCCACAAAACCCCCAAAAGCAGCTGCAGGTGAGGGACAGTCCTGGATGTGAGGGTGCTGCTGAGATCTCATGGTGAAGGGAGCCCTGGAGGTCTTGTCCCAGGGCTTGGAGCAGGAAGGAGGATGCTCAGCACATGCACTCACTGACTGCTGCAGGTGTATGCTCAGGTGCATGGCACAAGTCTGGGGACCATGGCAGGTGGCAGAGCTCAGAGGGACAGAGGCTCAGGACATGGGGAGGCTGGGCAGAGAGGGGCAGGGCTCACCTCCAGGATGCCTTTGTGCTTCTCTTCCCGGTCCTCAACCACCACGTGGCCTGTCAGGAAGACGTAACACTCCTGGCAGACACGGCTCAGGCGGTTCCCATCATACTGCAGCTCTGCCTTGTAGTCAGAGCAGCGAGCACAAACCACCTGCAACCACCAGACAGGGACACTGGTGAGACTGGGGGATCCCAGGGACAGCTCCAGGAGGAGCTGAGGGATGGGAGCAGCCTGGGGAAAGTGATGTAAGGTGTAGGAGAGGTGTGCTCCTGCCCCAGCAGCCATCTGGATGTGCCAGGAGGGAGGGCAGGTGGGGACAGGGTGGCTCACATATCCACAGGCTCGGCAGTGGTGTCTCCGGCGGGTGATGGCGTTGAAGGGCTCCTTGCAGCGCATGCACATGGTCACCAGGTTGTCTCTCACCCACTGTGGAGCTCGGCGGCCCAGCTCCTCTGTCTGAGGGTGGCAGGCTGCATCACTGGGGCTGGCCAGCCATGGTCTGCATGGTCCCAGCCCCTCTGCTCTCACCCCTTCCCCTCCTCAGCTCTTCTTCCCATCTGCAGCCTCCCCTCAGCTCAGTGTAGCTAGGGAAACTGAGGCACAGCAAGATGGGCTTACCCTGAGGGGTTTTAGAGGCAGGTGGGGCATGGGGAGAGCAGGAGGGTTACCTTTAATGCAGGGGTGTCTGTGTCCAGACCATGCACTGCTGTCTTAAAAGTCTCACTCCTCTTCTCCTTCCTGTCAATGGCATCCTGGAAGGCCTAGAGGGGAAGGCAGGGCTGGAGAGCAGTCGGGAGCTGCCCTGAACTCAGGGCATCCCGCTGGGATGAGCACAACATGCTGTGTCTCCAGCACTCAGTGGTACCTTGATCCAGGCGTCCATCTCCTCCCCAGACCTGGGTACAAAATGGAGATGGATAAGCTGTTGTCCCTCCTCCCTGAGGTTCTTCAGGACCATCATCCCTCCCCTTACCTAGCTTGCAGCTCCAGTGTCCTCTGCTTTCCCGAGACCAGGAAGGTGTGAGGGAACTCTGTGTCGTTCAGCTCCCGCACCTGAGAGAGACCAGAGAAAGGATGTGGAGTTGAACCCACCTCCACACAGAGACCTTCCCCTATGATATAGGGCACTGGGACTTCCCCTTGGCACAAGCTGTCAGGTCCCACATGCACAAGATTTCACTGGCATTTCACAGGATCAGACCATACCAACCAGTTGTTACCCACAAAGCCACCCCTGGCTCCAGCTTCTCCTTCCTTTCCAAGGAAGTGTGGGCCAGCAGCCATATCACACCCCAAAGCTGGGTGGTTTTGGAGGGGCCAGGGTCTGGGGGCAGCACAAAGACAAGGCCTGCCTGACCTTCATGCCGTCGACGTCGATGCGGTGGTGGACCTGGAACTCGGCGCCCACCTGGATGACCTTGGGCACGCAGTACAGGAGCATGTTGTTGAACTGGGAGGGGGAAGAGGGTAGGTTGGAGCCCAGCACATGCCTGTTCCAAGCTGGGGGCTTCCCTGGGATGTGGGGTCCTTCATCCCCCAGGGCTGAGCTGGTCCTTGGGAAGGATCCAGTCTAAAATGTCACTGCTTCTGCCCCAGCCCTCTCCCACCCTGAACTCTGGGAGGGTGACCTCTCCCAGGGCTGTGCCCATGGGATCAGCAGGTTCCCAACACAGAGCCCTGCACAGGGTGCCCTGCACTCAGCAGGGTCAAACATCCCAGCTCTGAGTTCATCCCCTCTGTAGCGATGACCCAGCAATACCCTGGACAGACTGTGCTGTCCCACTCTCCATTCCCATTTAATCTGTTCCCTCCCCTTCCCTTGAGCATCCCACCAGGAACAGGTACTTCTCCGATGTACTGTTGTTGCGGGTGGAGATTTTTTGGATGGGTCCCTCCTTGATCAGCTCATTGGAGGGATCCACAATGTCATTCTCAAGGCCCAGACGCTGATAGACCACCCAGAGATTCTGCAGCCGTTCCTGGGGAAGGCAGAGGAACCTGTTTTTTGTGGGTTGCTGAGCAGTCACAAACTTGTCATTGCTGGGTCCCCTCCATCCCTAACTTCCAGGCTGAGTTCTGGGAGAGGTAGCACAGCTCTCCCAGCCCAGACTCCTCTTTGAGAGCAGCTCCCAGCCTTGAACAACCTTCACATCATGGCTGATGTTACAGACATGATGTTACAAACCCCCCAGGCTCAGGGTGATGGGGTGAGGCATCAAGAGCAGGGTCTAAACTCCTCTGATGAACCCACAGTGCTCCTGTCCCATTCAGGGTCCTGTGCTGTGAACTGCAGAGCACTGCTAGGGGCACAGGCACTCACCATCTCGGCGATAGCTGCATTGGAGTGCTTGGCCACCATAAAAATCATCTCCAGGGCCTCTGGAATGAGAAGAGACAGGGTGAAAGCTAAACACCTGCTCTGGAGCTGTGGGAGGCAGCTGCTGGTTCTGTCCTTCACAGAGGTGGTGTGTGGTGGCTGCTGCCCTCCCTTGGACACAGTCTGAACGGCCCCAAAACGCTGCACAAACGTGTGAGTCTGGCCTGACTGTGTGGTGTGGCCTGGTGGGGTCCTAAGGGACAGCCAGACAGCTCCTGTATCCCCCCATCCCAGCAGGACTGGCAACTGAGTTATCCACAAGGGTCTGAGAGCTCCCCTGGCCACTGCTGGTCTCTCTGGGTGATGCTCTGAAGGGACCACCCTCACCCTGAAACACCACCCACCTTCCCCACTGTCCCTGAAAGGGCAGATTAATCCCTCTCCCTGCTAGAAAAAGCTCAGACTGAGAAGTTTATCCAAGGGCACAGGGCAGCTGGTGAGGGAATCCAGGTATCCTGATGCCCATGCACAACACCAGGGGTAGTTATTTCCCCTACAAACCCACCCTGCCACTCCCCACAGCAGGAGCCTGGCAGAGCTCTTACTCTCAGCATCACCCCGGTCAGGGGACTTGGGTGGGAGTTTCCTGACATAATCTTTCAGGAGGAGTTCGTAGCGTGGGATCCTCTGCACAGGTTCCAGCATGTGGTGCTGCAGCGTTAGGTTAGCACAGACCTTCCTCTTCTGGGGAGAGACAGCAGGCAGGGAGAGTGAAACAGTGACCAACACAGTTCCCACCCTCTGCTGCTTCCCCCTTGCAAGGAGATTTTGGGGGGCACTGCTGCAGTCCCATCCTGCCGTGGCCTGTTACCTGGATATCAGCAATGACCTCCTGGAAGGGTGGTGATTTCTCTGACCAGACAGTGATGAGCTCCACAGCCTTGTCGAAGTTCTTCACGTATTCACCATACATCTTGAGGAACGGTGCGAGTTTCTGGATCACATCCCCAATCCGGGGGTTGCGGTTCCTGCAGGAGGGAACCACAAACCAGCAGCTTCCCCAGTCTGTCGGGGCAGACAGACAGTGAGGGATCAAGTCGAGCTAGAGGACAGAGGTTTTTACTGCTGCAGCCTGCTACATCCCAGCACAACTTCCTGCTCTCCAGAATGAGAATATCCCCAGTTTGCAGCCAGCCTGGCCTGTTCACACCTGGCACATCCCCAACCCACTTGAGATGTCACAACCCTTTTCAGAAATTCAGTGTTTTAACGAAGTGCTTCCCAGCTCAAAGACATTTGGAGCAAAACAGGCTGAACTCTGGTTCTGGTGGGAGTCCAAAGCCAGCACTGCTTCCCAAGTTCTGGCCAAGCATCCCAGGTGTCCTGTCCTTCCCTCCTGCAGCTCACCAATCTTCCATGCGTTTCCGCAGCTCTGGCAGGAAGAAATTGGCATGGAACTGGTAGATGGAAGAGATGTTGGAAAAGATCATTTTCACCACCTCCTCTGGGACAGTCTTCCCAGTTTTGGCTTCTCTCATCAGCTCTGTATAGAATACCTAGAAGAAAGAAGGGTGAATAAAAAGGTTCTGGAAGAGGCTTGAGGATCCATTCCCTCTCTGAGACTGGCATATCACTCAGTAAGAAGGGCTGACTGCAGGAGAGAAATCCGAGGCTGCAAGAGAGAAGTTAGGGTGATGGAAGGCTTTGCTGGGACAAGGGTGCTCCCTTGTCTCTGGCCATAAAGACCAGCAGCCCACGTGGCTCTCATTTGCACAGCTTCACTCTGTCCAAAGGTCCTTTCATGGGTCCCTCTGCTCACCTGGTCGAGGAGGTGGAGGCGATTGACATAAGCCTGTTCTGTCTCCAGCAGCTCCAGAGCTATTTTCTTTTCCTCTGGTTCCTGCATGGGAAGAAGGGCTCAGTCTCCTGGGCAGAGATGTGACCCCCAAGCCCTGAGCCAGCCTGTATGGCTCCCTGCCTGCCCCTGGGCACCCACCTGCCACCCCTGAGCTGCCCCCAGAGCTTACCTCGCTGCCAGGCTCAAGGCTTGGGCCCTGTGGCCTCCTCCAGTTGTCCTCACTGATCTTGTGTCGGAAAGAACGGAGGCATTTGAAGCTGAGCCCCTGCTGCCCCTGCTCCTCCTGCCCCTCCTCATTCCCTTGCTGTGCCTGGAGCCTGGCAGCCCTTGGGGAGAGGCTCCAGCTGGCAGGGGGTGCTGGAGGCTGCTGGGGCTGGCTGGCTGCTGCAGTAGTTTTGCTGTGCAGAGGTTCCTTGTCCCTCCAGGTGAAATTGCTGGCCCTGCCACGAGGAATCAGCGTGATCAGCTCGTCCATTCCCCCAGCACAGCCCACCCAGCTCACAGACCCAGCTTAAAGCCACTGTCGTCAAGCAGAGGTGGCAAGAGCAGCAGGTCCTCAGTGCTGACACTGCTCTGCTCCAGCCCTGCAGGTACAAACATCCCCAACAACCCCCATGGGTCCAGGATCCAGCTTCTCTTCTCCCAGTGCCTCCTGCTGCTGTGGCCAGTCCCTGTCCTGCTCTAGAAAAGTAGGATTCTGTCATTTATCTCAGGCATATCCATTTATTTCCTGAGACACTGCTCTGGCTTTCTGCCTGCTGCCACCACAGAGTCAAGGTGGGGAGAAATCCAATAGCTAAGAACTCTCAGCAAGACTGGGCAGAAACTGGGAAGACATCCACTAGGGGCCTGGAGACAGGAGTGGGATGAGTAGGAGGGGAAAGCCATGATGAAATTGGACATAAAACTGCAAAGTTGAGGACAGGAGGTGACTTGAGGGACAGCCCATGCTGATAAGCACAGACCTGTGAGCTTGAGAGTGCATCCATATCCATGCACACATCCCTCCTGTCCAGGGGCTGGCATAGCCCTTCACCTGGCAAAGAGGCTTTGTCCATCTCTCCTGGTTCCTCCCAGACCTGTGTCAGCCTAAACCCACTGCTGAGATCAAACAGGGAACTTCTCTCTTTCTGTTTGCACTGACTTGGGCTAAGCTGTTTTCTGTTCCAGAAAACTAGTTCCCAGGTTTCTGAGCTTCCTCTGAAAGTACTAGGTTACTTTTATTTCCTCTAAATCACACTCCACAACAAAATCTAAACACACTGCAGCAGCGAAGTGGAGGCAGATCAAACACTGCAGGCAGTTCCAACACATCCATCACTGTGGGACCATGGGATAACTGCACTGCTCTGGAGCCATCCAGACACAAAGCCCAGGGAAAAGCACATGGTAGAGATGCAAGTGAAGTTCCTGGAGTAAAAGGAAATCTTGTGCCTGAGCATCTTTAGCAACTGCTGCAAAACTCGCCTGCCCAACCGCTCAGCCTCATTGAGGCTCACTGAGAGCACTTCATGGGTACAGGGAAAGGCAGGATTTGGTGTCCTGATACAACAGATGGGGAAATTGAGACACAGACCTTAATAATAACTCACCCCAAGCCTCAGAATTACTTCTACACCAGAGTCAGTGCAGACCTCCTCACTCCAACCCTGCACATGCTGTCTGAGGGTCCCAGCTCAGACTCCAAGTGAAGGAGCTGTTTTACAAAAGGAACTTGTTCTCCCCCTTAACATGATGGTTTACCCTTTCCTAGGAGCGACATCTGCAAACAGTTGGGTAGTCTGAGGCTGGTTCCTGAGTCTGGATCTTCCCAGACAACCAGTTCATTCCCAGTGAAGACCACTGCCTACATGTTTGCAAACCACAATCCTCTCCCCAGCAGCAGCAAAAGGATTCTCCAGCCAGGCTGACTGTGAAGGTGCTGAACCCAGAGGGAACAGCCATGCCACAACCTAACCCTGAGCCAGGCACAGTCAGTCACATCCCACTGGGGTTTTCAGGTCTCTGTCCATGACCCACAGCAGGAGGAAGACACCAAGGCAGGGCCAAGTGGTGAAGAAGAGCAAATTACCTACTCAGCTTCTCCACAGACTCCAAACCAGCACCACACTGGGTTTCTTCTTTCCAAGACCTAACACACCTTCAACACCCAGAACCCTTCCTCCTTACCAGTGCTCTTCAAACACAGCCACCAGCTTCACCACACTCTGCTGTGTATCAGCCTTCCCCTCCATGGCACCAGCTGGGAGCAGGTCCTGGGAGTGCAGGAGCTGCAGGAGTGCTGCTGATGGCTGCAGCTCCCTCCTTCTCTCCCCCTCTCTGCTTTGGGGTGTTTCTGGGACCCAGGATGTGATTTGGGGAAGAGGATTTGCACAAGGCAAAGCCCACCCGCTGCCCTTTCTGTGGTAGGCGAGCTTGTTTCTGGGTTGACTTCAAAAGGAAAAGGAAAGAGGAAGCACAACATGTTGTAAATAGGAGAAAACCCTGGGAATTGGTTCCATTTGGGGGAACCAAAGTGGTGGCATAAACAAGGTCAGAGCAGCAGTGGGGATGGTGCAAGGGCACAAGCTGGGCAGGAGATCTGACATGCTGGGAGCTCCCTAGGATGGGGTGCGCTGTGTCCCACCAGGGTGGAGGTCAGGGAGTGAGACTGAATAGTCCTGATCCACAGAGGGGCTGGGAATGGCTGGAAGGAACCTGCTGGGAAGGAGGAAGGGAATGGCTGGCAGGGACCTGCTGGGCAAGGAGGGAGGAAATAGCTGGGAGGGGTCTAGTGCTTAGAAGGGCTGGAAGTGGCTGGTAGGGCCATGGTGCTTAGAGGAACTGGGAATGGCTGAGAGGGCACTGGTGCTTGGAGGAACTGGGAATAGCTGGAAGGGACCTGCTGGGAAAGAGAGAGGGAAATGCTGGCAGGGCTCAGGTACCTGGAGGGACCAGGAATGGCTGTCAGAGCTTTCCTGGAACGAGGAGGGAGCAGGTACACAACCTGCAGCTCCTCAGCCCCCACCACCAGGTCCTCCTGTGTGTCCCACAGCAGCCAACCCTCGGAGGACACCCCTCAAGCAAGCAGTGCCTAGGACACAGTCCCTCTGGGGCAGGCCCACCAGGGCACAGCCCTCCATGTCCTCCCCGTCCCTCCCTCCCTCCTGCTGTGTGGCAGCAGGACCAGGGGATTGAACATCTCCCTGAACTCAGCACTGGGGAGGTCACACCTCAGTGCTGTGTTCAGGTTTGGGGTCCTCCATTTAAAAAGGATATCGAGTCACTGGAGCAAGTCTAGCGAAGGGCAAAGAGGCTGGTAGAAGGTCTAGAAAACATGCTGTATGAGGAACAGCTGAGGGGTTGTTTAGACCTGAGAAGAAGCAGCTCAGGGGTGACCTCGTCACTCTCTACAACTCCCTGACAGGGTTGGAGAGAGGTGGGGGATGTCTCTCCTGCCATGGCTGCAGGGAGAGGACTAGAGGGAATGGCCATAAACTGAGACAGGGCAGAGTCAGATTAGGTGTCAGGAAGATTTTTTTCCCTATTAGGGTGTCCATACACTGGAATATTGCCCAGGGAGGTGGTGGAATCACCACCCCTGGAGGTGTTTGAGAGCTGTCTGGATGTGGCACTGGAGGACATAGTTTCCAAGTTCCAGCAGTGACAAGTCCATGGTTGGACACGATGACCTTAG